CAGATGTTCCTGTACATTATTCCAGATGTTCCTGTACATTATTCCAGCCACTTGGTTATGGTATTCCACATGTCTCTGCCTGAATCTTACAATCTTATCTTGATGCATTTAACATCAGCACAAACATGAACATGAGTCTGTGCGTGCACATCTGCTCACAGACTCATGTTCATGTTTGTGCTGATGTTCAATGTTTTATGTTATGAGTGCTTAGTGAATATTTAGTTGATGTTTTTCTTAGTTCATATCTTAGATGTTATTACTGTTTTTCTTATACTGTTTTTCTTATACATTTTATTGTTGGATGTAACTGGGACCCCGTGTACATAATTTCGCTCCGCCACATGTACCACATGAGGTGCGAATGACAATAAAGAAACTCTGACTCTGACTCTGATTCTCAATAATCCAGGTAGAAACATCTAAAACAAGTAAAGTCAGGTCCTCTGGACGGATTCTTCTTGTTGACAAGTTTTGTCTTCATCCAAAAGACTTCTTCAGTCTGAGTCACTCAGATCATTCTATTCTATTTGTTGAACCAAAAAGAAAATTAAAGCTATGTTTTTGTCTGAATACTCGTATAACATTGTTTAAATGAAAAGTGTAAAAAAAATAATAATAATAATTTAACGATTGTTCCTTTCTGTCGTTCTTTTTCAGGAGATAATAATGGATGGCCTCATTTATTTGACAAATATTTTGGGATGCCGAGTTATAACATCCGGACCAAGTCAAACGTCTGCTGTAAGTACTGTCCAGAGTGAATGTTCACCCTGAAGCAAAGTGTTTTCCTGTACAACACTTTCAGAAACACAAGATAGACATTTTAAAATCAAGTTTTATTAAAGGACATTTAAAAGTAATAATCATCAGCCAAAGTGCTGAACTTAAAATGTGGAAAAGGTGACAATAAAAAGTGACAATTAAAGGATGACTGTTGGTGCAAGTGAGGAAATTTTTAATACATATATTTATATAACACACACATTTATAAGAAACATTTCGACACATATCTGATCTTATGTCTTATTTGGTTATCATTTTAATTATTGGACTTATTAACGACAAAAAGATTTCCTTATTTTTTAAGCTTTTAAAAAATAAAACAATAAATCAAATGAGAGCTTCTAAAGAGGGAACAAGTTGCAAGAAAAGCCTTCCTCTTAGTCCTCATTTAGTTTGTGATTGTATGAATATGCAACAGGCCAAAAAGGTTTTTATGTGTCTGAGTCACAAAGAAAAAACAGAATTAAGGTCTAAATGAAATAAGATTTCTGTAAATCCAGAGCAGAGAAAATAAATGTGCATATATTTACTGCTGAATACTGAAGTCAGCCCCCCCAAGAGACTTCAGCGTGTGAGAAAATGATGCTTTTAAATGAGTTTGTATCAGCGTATGGCACAATCAGCGCAGCTAACACATTCAGGGAGAAGAGCTAAAAGTAGCTAAAATCTGTCAAAACAACTCTGAATATTAATACCTGATGTAATAATTGCCATCTTTATGTCACAGCAGCAGCATGTTTGTCATCATCTGTTTACGTCTTTATTTGCTCTGCTTGTTTATTTTATTTTATTTTATGAGCATCAGATTAGAAATGTTGACCTGTTGTCACTTTGCTTTGATCAAACTAATTTTGTAGCCATCGTGTTTATTTCACTTAAACTTAAGTAAAGTCATCAGTTTGTCTTCAGGTTGCTTTTTAAAGCTAATTTGCAGGTGAATTAAATTTGGCTGATCGTTTGTTCAAACTCATTATATAAATAGATCAATAATGTGCATCCGGCATAATTTATTTAACCTCCTAAGACCTGGACTCTTGCATATGTGGATTCCAGGTCCTAGGAGGTTAAACATTCAGCACAATTTGTCGTTTTGTTTTTAGCCATCAGATTAGTGAGCAAACAGAAGTGTGAGCGCGGTGTTGGGCCGCAGCTCTCCAGTGAGCTGTGAAGTGTTTGAAAGCTGTGATTACTGAAAATATGTGCCATCTTCTGAGAGCAAACAAGAAGTCTGTCCTCTGAAATAAACTCAGCTGGTTGGACCTTTTTGTGGGAGAAGATGAGATTAAACGTCTGTGTCCATACGTAGCAACTAATGGCTAGACTTAATTCCCTCCATCTCCTGACACCCCGGACATCTCCAGCTGCTCTTTACCTAACATCATCTTCTCCGAAGTAAACAAGACTCCAAGCTGAGCTCATTTCCATGATGGCAGCGCCGCCGTGCACTTCCTGCGAGCTGTTGGATTAAAACTGTTTTAAATGTTCTGAAACGGTTCCACATTCATAATTTGTCATTAAAGATGATCAGATATGCAGCCTGATAATAAGTTTTCACTTTTCCTTCAGCGTTTATTTCTACAGGTTAGTCTCATTGAGTCACTCGTTTATAAGAGAAACCTGTTTTTAGACAGACAACGTTAAAAAAATGCAATAAAAATAAATGTAGTGTTATAAAATAATAAGATCAAGGAGCCTTGTAAAACAAGCTAAAATACTAAAAACATGTTTGCTTTGATTTTTCTATTGACCTTATTAAATGTTTGACAAACAATTATATCATCAGCATAGATGAGTAAGGTAAGGAATGTAAGTAGAAAGGAGGCGTCAGGAATGTGTTGAGCCACATTGCTTATATAAATTGTAAAAAGAGTGGGTCCTAAAACTAAGCCTTGTGGCACACCATTATTGACTGTTGGGTAGTTATGTCAAACACATTGCCGCCAACCTTTTTAAATGTCTTCTGCTGCAGTCACATGTCAGTGAGGCAGAGTTTTGTTGAGTCCTTTTTCAAACTTTCTCAACCTTCTCTTTCTGCACATCCTTAAAAAGTCTTAAATTCATGTATCTAAAATTAAGTGTCTTAAATTATTTAGAAAATGTGTAAGTTTCTTTAAATACGTTAAAGGTCTTCAAATCTGTCGAGCAGGAAGGATTAAGGTTCTCCAGGTTCCTGTCATCTGTAAAAATGAGGAGGGGAAAAATGTGTTGAAAAACATTAAGTCTAAAGATGATCCGGGGATTAAAGTGACGCCGCTTCCAACCAGAAACAGAAGCAGAGCCATAGTTTGATCCAATCACAGCAGAGCAGACACACTGCATCTGCTGTTTTAAATCTTATCTTTAAATAATATTAACACTAAAACATGAATATTTCTTCTACCCAGGTTATAGCAAAGATGTGTCTCTGTTTACATTTCATTTCTCCCTCGAACTCATGGAGTTCCCTATGAGAGTCAGTTTCAGGTGTGCACGGTGTTTTAACAGCAACAAGGAGCCGTGGCTGTCTGGATGAGCCAAATGATTATATTTAGAATCGTACTGAGCTAACTGTACTGTGATAAATGATCGAATGTGACGGACTGAACCTAACTTTTTTATATTGATAAACTCATTAAGCATGCATCTTAAGTGAGTAAAAGTTGGTGCACGAACTGTACTGTTGTAAATAGCACATGCTCGAAGGCTTTGGAGCAAATAACAGTGAAATGTCGGCCACATTATCTACCCCGAGAGTTCACGGTGACTTTCATCTCTGTCATCTACATTCCTCCGGACGCTAATGCTAATGAATCACTGCAGGAGCTTCATGATATCATCAGCTCGCTGCAGAGCAAACACCCCGAGGCTCTTTACATTGTAGCTGGAGACTTTAACCACGTGAATCTAAAGGACTGTCTCCCAAGCTTTAATCAGCATGTGACGATTCCAACACGTGGAGACTGCACGCTGGACCGTGTTTACACGAACGTAAAAGATGCATACAAAGCCGAACCCCGCCCCCACCTAGGACTGTCAGACCACATCTCAATCTTCCTGGCTCCTGCTTACATGCCCCCGCTGAGACGCTCCAGACCGGTCCAAAAGGAAGTTAAATGCTGGATCCAGGACAGTGGCCCCATACTGAGAGATTGTTTTGATCGAACAGACTGGCAGGTTTTCAGAGAAGCTGCTGAAAATGGAGGTTCGCTTGATCTTGACCAATACACATCCTCAGTTCTGGGTTACATTAGTACATGTACTGACACCGTCTCCACTATCAGAAATGTTAAAAGCTACCCAAACAGAAAACCTTGGCTGAATGCAGAGGTGCGTACCCTGCTGGAAGCCAGGAACACTGCCTTCAGGTCTGGAAACTCAGAGGAGCTGAGTAGGACAAGAAAAGAGCTGGTTGCTGGTATTAAGAGGGCCAAGGCCACATATGCAAAGAGGATCGAGGGTCAATTCATCTCACAAGACCCTCGGAGCATGTGGAGGGGCATTAAGTGCATAACAGATTATAAAGGAAGGAGTGAACAATGCCCCAAAGACCCATCTCTGCCTGATGCCCTCAACAAGTTCTATGCACGCTTTGAAGACACGAACAGACCACCCAGCACCAGACTCACCTCACCACCGGACGAAGAGCATCTCAGCGTGACCTCAGCAGAAGTAAGGAGTACCTTCAGGAGGATTAATCCGCACAAAGCAACTGGCCCAGACAACATCCCCGGAAAAGTGTTGAAGGAATGTGCTGATCAGCTCTGTGAGGTGCTGGCAGACATCTTTAACACCTCACTTACCCTGGAGACAGTTCCCACCTGCCTGAAGACTGCCACCATCATCCCAGTCCCAAAAAGCTCTACAGTGACTGGTCT